AGGTGTCCCTGCCCATGGCAGGGGTGGCACTGGATGGGCTTTGAGGTCCCTTCCAACCCAAACCCCTCCATGATTATATGACTCTCTGAGCCAAGCAGACCTCTCAGGTCAAACCCTACAGATCAGCCCAGCAGGACAGGGCTGGGCTGGAACTCCTGGGGTTCCTTTCAGGGTCCCCCTTCCTGGGAGCAGGGAGAAGGGGCATGGCAGGATGGGAACAGTCCCTGCTCCCATTTCGTGCTGTCAGAAGGTCCCTGTGGGTGCCAGCACCCCTGGGTGGTGCCTGGAGCAGCACTGGCAGCACCCAGGTCCTGGCAGGGCTGATAAGGGGGTGCAGGAGGGGGCACTGGTGCCTGGCAGCATTTCCCCTGCATGTTCTCTCCCCCCTGACTGCACCCAGGCTGGACTCAACTTGATTTGTCATTCTGCTCCAGCCCCCCACACTGGGTCTTCTGGAGAAAAGGCAAATGTAGGCAAATCTAATGAAAGTTATTCATCCCTATTCCATTAAAAAAAGGTCTACAACTAGAGGGAGAAAGCAATATTGTCAGGCTGGAAATGTCCCTCAGTATTTTCTTTCTTTGAATTGATTTTCCTGCCATATTTTCAACACAGAAGACACTTGGCAGGGGATGGTCTGTGGAGGAAGGCAAGAGCTGGTGTCTGGAGAGGAGCTTGGGCAGCCCTGCACCTCTGCTTCAGCCTGGCCACGCAGCCACCCCCTCAGCTGTCCCCAGCTCTTCCCTAGCCCAGCCCAAATCCTGTGGAAAACAACAGGAAAACAGCAGATTCCTCCGGGGGCCTTGGAATCAGCATTGAAACCCCTGTGCTTTCAGCAAGGATGGTGTTTCTCGGGGTTTATGCAGGAAACAAAAGAGGAAAGCTCCCCAGGGCATTGCTCCTGGCTGGGATGCAAAACCCCTGGGTGCTGAGGTTGTCAGGGCAGCCTGGATGTCTCCTGCTCAGAGCACAGCCTGGCTGAGTGTGGGTGGCTTGTGGAATTTGGCAGGTTCTGAAGGGGAAGGCCCTGGGCTCCCCCCAGGCTGGACAGCCCTGAGCTGAGCTTTTGCTGCTTTTTGAGCCTACAGCAGGTCCTGCAGTGACAAACCTGGTGTTCTAAGCCTGTTTCACCCCCCCTTTATGGATGTAGCTGGAAGCAGAACTGAGATGAGCAGGATGGTCCTGTGTGGTCCTTGCTCCCTGTCCAGCAGCACTGCATTGGGCTGGTCCTTTCACATCTGAGGGGAGAACATTTGGGTGAACTCACCATGGGAGGAGGGTGGAACAAGACAAGCTTTAATGTCCCTTCAGCCCAAACCAACCTGTGATTCTACCAGAGGACATCCTGAGCTGGAAGGGACCAACAAGGATCATGGAAATCCAGTTCTGAACTTGGACTCTGAAATGCTACTATGATTCTTCCTGCTCCAAAAGGCACAAATAAATCAAACAGGTCAAGTTCTGTCATGGGAGAGGGAAAATGAGGCTAATGCAGATTTGGGCTGCAGAGCCTGAGCATCCTCTGAATAGCTCCAGCACTGCCACAGCTCCTGGTGGTGCAGGGAGTCCTCGGGCAGGGCAGGGCCCTGCACGGTTTGCTGGGGACAAACCCCTCGGGGTCGCTCTGCCAGGGGCTGGATTTTGGCCTGGACATTCCTCATTTCAGTGAGGGAAGGCAGAGCCCAGTGTTGGGAATGCTGAGGCACCAGGCTCACACCTCTGAGTCCAGCCCACGCTCAGTGGTGATGGACCATCACCCCAGGGCTCTGCAGCCCCTTCTCCACAGAGGGGCCCACGCCTGGAAGGTGAGGGGAGAGCTGCCCTCACAGAGGGGAAGGGACAAATCTGGAGCTCAGGATAACCAGAGGCCCCTTCTCCGTGTGCCACACCCTGGCCATCCCCTCCTGCTCCCCCTCCTGCTGGAGGGGACCCCCCCATCCCATGGCCCCTCGGGACGGCCGGGGAGGGGCTGCGGGCAGGGGATAAAAGGCCCGGCGGGGTCTGGGCTCAGCTACGGGGTCTGTGCCCTCCTGCAGCCCAGCAGAGCAGCCACCATGGTGCACTGGTCAGCAGAGGAGAAGCAGCTCATCAGCAGCATCTGGGGCAAGGTCAACGTGGAGGAATGTGGGGCCGAGGCCCTGGCCAGGTACGTCCAGCTCGGGAACCTGGAAAGAAACCCCTCCGGTCACAGGGTGTTAATGGGTCCCTGGGCCTGCATGTGTCTCTCCCCAGGCTGCTGATCGTCTACCCCTGGACCCAGAGGTTCTTCTCTAACTTCGGGAACCTCTCCAGCCCCACGGCCATCATCGGCAACCCCAAGGTCCGTGCCCACGGCAAGAAGGTGCTCACCTCCTTCGGGGAGGCCGTCAAGAACCTCGACAACATCAAGGGCACCTACTCCAAGCTGTCAGAGCTGCACTGTGAGAAGCTGCACGTGGACCCCGAGAACTTCAGGGTGAGCTGTGTTTGCTGTCCCAGCCCCTGCCCTGGGCCCTGTGGGCAGAGGCAGATTTTGCTGTTGGTTCAAACAGCCCTGCCCAGGGGCACTTGCCTGGGCGGTGGGGGGAGAGTCCCTGTGTCCCAGGAGAGGTGGCAGCTTGTGCAGGGCTGTTTGTAACAGCCTGGGCAACTTCACCCTAAGAAGTCCCACTTGTAGTGCCAGCACAGCACCGGGGAGGGGCAGATACTGGGAGATGGTTACCGGGAGGAGATCGGGCTGGGGAACGACCCCAGGGGAAGGTGCAGCATGGGCTGGAGGAGGAGGAGGCAGAGGGAAGCTCAGCAGAGCATTTCAGGAAATCCAAGGTCTTACAGGAGGATAAGCAGAACCACAGAGCAGGGTCCTGCCCGGAGTGCGGGTGGGGCACTCCCCACTCCTCCAACACTCTCAAATGCAAATGAATCATTGTCTTCATTTAGACCTAAAAAGAGAAAGAAAAAACCCACAGATTTTTAGGGTGGTTCTCAGGCCAAATTGCTTTAATGTTTTCAAGGTTCTTTCTTTCTGGTTTTATTTTATATTTAAGAATGCAGCAAATATTGTTTTCCAAAAACTCAGAGCTTTCTATGGAAAGGCTGAGGATTCTGCTGCCGCAGTCCCAGGGCACAGGGAGAGACACGCCCATAACCAGCCCCGCAGCCCGAGGGGCTGGGGAGGAAGAGGAGGAGGAGTGTGCAGTGTGTGAGAGTCCGTGCAGGAGGGGAATTCAGCCTCAGGGAGAAGTCAGGGCAAGGAAACAGCCCGTGGGTCGTGGGTGGTGTCGGGGGCGGACGGGAAGGAGAGGGACTGGGCGGGGGGGAAAATCTGCAGCAGGGAAACCGGGGAGAAATAAAAGGAGAAGCTGTTGGGAGCCAAAGGCACGGCAGGACACGGGGGAGCGGAGGGAGCGCGGGCATCCCGAGCTCCGGGTGGGCTGTGGCACAGCAGCACTGACCCTGCCTGTCCTCCTCCTCCTCCTCCAGCTCCTCGGAGACATCCTGGTCATCGTGCTGGCCTCCCACTTCGGCAGGGATTTCACCCCCGCCTGCCAGTTCGCCTGGCAGAAGCTGGTGGGTGTCGTGGCTCACGCCCTGGCCCGCAGGTACCACTGAGCCCCCCGGGCAGAGCAGGAGCACGGGGGGATGTCCCGGGGGACCCCTCGACCGCCGAATAAACGCCTCCAGCATCACCCGCAGCGTGTCCGTGTGTCTGTGCCGGGAGCGCGGGGCCAGCGCGGGCTGTTCCCGCTCGCCAAAGCTG